GATCCTGAAGCAGCAGAAGATGCTGCAGGACCTGGAAGCTCAGATCGAAGCTCTGGAGAAAGACACTGAGTTATTCGAGCAGAAGGTCACGAATTCTGCAGTTCCTGATTCGATTCCAGACCCGACAGACGACCTGCAGGAGCTGGAGTACCGGCTCAAGCAGTACGAGGTGGAGCTGATGTACGGAGAAAACTGGGAGGAGGAGCTGAAGGTGGAGCTGGAGCGAGAGCAAGGTAGACGCCCAATCAATCAATCAATCAAGTTTATTGGTAAAGCATTTCAGTAAATATGCAGCTTTATGTTTTAGAAACACAGAAAAGTGATAAAAACAACATAAAGTGGAAAACTGAGAAACCAGAAACAAACGTTAGACTTTGATCAGTTCCATCATCTGAATCATTGATATTTATCAAATATGTTGATCAATATTCCAGTTATTATGGATCAAAATCAACTCTAATCATCTGGGTTTGTAGCCTGGATTTAAAGGATCCGTGTTTCAGCTGTTTTGCAGTTTTCTGGAAGTTTATTGCAGATTTGTGATGCAAAGAAGCTGAAAGCTGATTCTCCATGTTTGGTTCTGGTTCTGCAAAGCAGACCAGAACCAGAACCAGAAGACCTAAGAGGTCTGGGTGGTTGACGCAGCAGCAGAACTTTAAAATGTTTTTGTTCTGAAACCATCATCCTGTCTTCTGCAGACATGCAGAGACGCCTGGAGCAGATTCACTCGTCGATAGACGACCAGAGTTATGAGATCAAGGTGCTCCAGAGCCGCTCAGGCCATCTGGAGCAGGACCTACTGGACCGGGCCCAGACACGCGGCCCGGACCCCGAGGAGGGGCGCCCGGCTGACCGACGAGGCCCTCAGGTCGCTGACCCAGGAGCTCCACAAGCGGCTGCAGCTGGGCGACGATCTGGACGCGGCGCTGGCGGACGCAGTGGAAGCTGCAGAAGGCAGAAGAAACGGTAAAGGTATTCCACATCACCCACCACTCTGGCTGAGGGAGAATCAGGAAAGCCAAACCACTCCGGACTCAGCTGCTGGAGACGCTGCGTCATGCTAAGCTAACAGATGGAGACGAGTCTCAGCAGCAGGACTGGGAGGGAAAGTCTGTGAGACAGCAGTTTCCACTGACCATAAAACTGCACAAAATGAAATGATCATTTTCAAAATATTATTAATAAATTTGCTCCATGGAAAAACTCCAAATCGGAAAAAAATTTGATGAAAAGTTTTTAATCTAAAATTAGTTTGTTTTCTGTCGTATTGAAATCACATGAGTCACATGACCAGCAGCCGCATGTTACTACAGGCAGACATGACGAAGAAGACGACAGGAAGTAGTAACTGGACTTCCTGTTGTTTTTGTAAGTTTCAGGCAATGTGCAGCTGGCTCCACCAGAGCTCTCACAGAATTTTCATAAAAGTGTGTCATTTAAACGTAGCTCTTCTGTAAAATCACAAAATGTGTTTTCCCAAAACGTTGCTGCTGGGTTTGTCACTGACGTCTCCTCTGATTGGCTGATAGATGATGAGCGCTAACATCATGGATGATGTCATCTCCTGTAACTGTTTACATCCGTCGCTGCCATTATTTTGTTTTATTGGAAAATCAATCAGTCACAGAAATGACCCACAGCAAATTTTTATCGTTCTGTTATTCTTCAGAATTGTGTTAAAAACAAATATCAAATCAAACTAAACATCAGCTGAAAGTAAAATGGTAATTTCTTTAAATGATCTGAAACACAAATGTCTTAAATTAAAACTGTAAAAACTAAACAAACCTAATCTACATTGTAATTACAAAGTGCTGACAGACTCTCAGCCACACCTGCAGTTTTATTTCTAATGATTCTTCAGCTGTTGATCTGGTTGGACGGGAGCAGAAGGTCAGAGACGGTTGTCTGTCCCCTCCGATGTGTCCAACATGAGACAATGATGAGTCAGAGAAATCTTTAAAATGTGAAAGATTCAAATGCAATTAGTTGACAAATGATGACCTAAAAGGAATGAAAGAAACAGAGAAAGAATGGAGGTGAAACAGAGAGACTGAGATCAGGCAAGAAGAGAACCTGAGAACAGGAAGAACCGGATCACAAAAGAGCCGGATTACAAAAAACAGGAAGGTGATTTATTCTCAGAAAAACTCGACTGTTCATGACAGCATCACTTAGGACTGAAGACACCAAACCAAAACAGAAAAATACAAATATTTCCACTTCCTCAGCTGCAACTGAGGACAAAAACTATTTGCTATAGACTTAATATTAGCTCTAGATTTTCAAACGTGAAGTTATGAAATCCACTTTTTAATCGTTTCTCTTCTTCAGATATTAAAAATATTTCAGATAAAATATAATAATTCTCCAAACCTTTTTCTGTAGTTTTGAACTAAAAATAATGTGAAATGTGATTGAAAAAGCTTTTAAATGAACGTGAAACACAGAATGAATTCATAATCTGCTTTCATTCAACTCCAATCCGTTTGCTGAAAAAGTCCAGTTCATCTTTAGAGATGTGAAGCCACAACCCAAAAATGTCCTCTGGTCCGAATTCAAACCTATTTCACGGTTCAATTGAAGTTCGAACGGATATGTGAACACCAAGTGGACCAGAGACGCTCTGAAAGCAGGAAGTGGACTAGAGTGCAGGGCATTCTGGGTAAATACAACCAAAACAAATGTGAGACTCTGCTGCTAAAATCTGACACCACTCCATCTTCGTTTCCATTTGGTGGAGAAGAACAACACTGAGGCTCAGAGTCTTCAGAGGCTTTTTGTGTCGTTTCCTTCAGGGGCTCGTGGTGCAGCGCCCCCACAGGCCAGAGGGGAACAGGTTTATCAAAGGGTTTGGCTGGTTTGATTCAGTGCAGTGAGAAAAATCACAGCAGCTGAAAATATAACAACTAACATGCTGATGTTCTGCATTTAACTCCTTCCAACTGCAGATTTAAAATATCCACAGCAGCTGAGACTCAGAATAATGTAACATTCACCGCTGCCTCCCCACATCCCCGCCCCGGTGCCTGTCTGGGTTTCATGGTGCTGGTTTGACTGCAGTTTGTTCCTCCTGATAACGTTTCATCCCTCTGATGCTCTCCAGGACAGACTGGAGCAGATCGACGGGCTGAACAAGGAGCTGAGGCAGTGTGACCTGCAGCAGTTCATCCAGCAGGCCGGTGGGAACCCGTACGCCGACCCGGGGGGCCCGCCGCCTGCCAGCAAGCTTCACCTCAACAAGACTCGCGTCAGGAAGTAGCAGCAGCCGGAGCATCAACAGGTCAGCCGCACACAGCCTGATCGGTTTACTGAGTATTCAACTGTTTTTGGCACAAAATATATCCTGCATAACTTTATTAAAATTGTTTTCAATAAGATGTCATAAATAACTCACTGTGATGTGTTTTGTTTTTCTGCTGCAGGAATCAGAAGGAGAAACACTGAAGTCCCGTTAAATGTGTGTGTGTGTGTGTGTGTGTGTGTGTGTGTGTGTGTGTGTGTGTGTGTGTGTGTGTGTGTGTGTGTGTGTGTGTGTGTGTGTGTGAATGTTGTGCACATGAATATAATTATGAATATAAATAAACTATCTCTATAAGAATATACAGTTGTTTAACTGTACATAATGTTTACATGTGAACATAATGAAGAAATAAAGTTTTTTGTTCCATCTCAGCAGTTCATCTTTTAACCTGTAGAGGCCGCCAAAGCTTGACGAAGCAAACATCTCTCAGCTATGAGAATCTCCATCATCATGGATATTACAGTTTTATTACAACCTGAAAGACTTTTATGAAGCTTACACACTGATCCATGCTAACTATATGTTTTTTTTTTACACCGAAATGGTTTGATATGTTCAAAAATTCATAATATATTAAAAGAAATATAAACCTTTTTGCAATTTTGTACTGATCCAGCTTTCTCACATGCAGTGATGATGGTTCAGGTATTTAAAGGGGTTTTGTTTTTTCTCAGTCCTGAATCACATCTGCATGCTCTCCTCAGCAGATCTTCAGGGGCTGCAATCATTTTAGGATTATAGTCAATGAAAACAGAATTTGGTTTTCGGTTTAGATAAAATCATAACTTCATCCTCGTGCCTATTCAATCTGTTCTCGGGTAATTTCTTTATTGAACTTTTTTACATTTTCCACTGAAGTTAATTTGCAGTGAAGATTAGAATAATTTTAGTTTCAGAAAGTGGAAGAAGAGACTTGAAGAAGTTCATCATCAGGTTGATGAACCGACTCATGACTGACATCAGCTCCTCAATGCAGGCAGTAAATGATGCTGTCCATCTGAGCTGATGCTCCTCATGTTCCTCATGCTCATCATGTTCCTCATGCTCCTCATGTTCCTCATGTTCCTCATGTTCCTCATGCTCCTCATGTTCCTCTTGTTCCTCTTGTTCCTCTGGTCTCATGTGGATTTCTATTAAATTATATCTATAACTCTCAGTCATAATTTTTTAAGCTAGCCTGAAGTCTGGACCTGGAACTGATCTCTTTTAGGCCATAAGGGTTGACCTTTGACCCAGTCTCTCTCTATAATCTGCCGCCTCCTTTCTGAATCCTGTTGTGCCAAACTGGATCCGATTGGCCTGGAGACAGAACAGATCAGTGAGCAAGACTTTCAATTTAGTTTGTCCAAATCAGATTGTTCACTTATCCACCGACTGTCTCCTCAGAGTTTTTTATGGTTGTCAACAGAATAAAAAAACCTTCGCAGTCTCTGCTTGTTAGATCTCCCTGGATCACAGCGCCACCTGCAGGTTTATCTCTGCTCTGCAGGCCTGTGACATCTGGACTGAGACAGAGAGACAGATGGAAAGCAGACCCTTACTGGGAGTCAGGTTTGGCCAGACTCCCAGTAAGAACAGGTGAGCTCTTCTCATCTGATGAAGAACAAAGCCCACAGCATCATAGGTCCTCCACCGTACTTAACAGTAAACATGAGGTGCTTATTCATCCATTGTTTCCCCTTGAATGCTTGAAGCTGAAAAATTCAATCTCGATAAATCAGATGTTCAGATGTTCAGTATTTCCTTGATAGTATTTTTTTTTTCCTTTTATTTATGGTAAATATGTCAGTTATGAAACGCCATTAGCTGTGATATAAGCTAACATTAATAACATCCAGCTTCACTCAGTGTTCTCCAGTTGTTCTGAGTTATGGAGGCTTAGCCATAAGCCGGCAGCCTAAATCGGCTCTGGGAGAGGCGGCCGGTCCGTGCAGGCGTATAAAGACGCTGCCAGGCGAAGAACAAGGAGAAGAACCAGGAGAAAAGAGACACTGTGAGAAGAAAGAAGGTTCCTTCTTTGTCTCACAGCTGCTTTTCACTTCTGTGATTTCAGTGACTAACCAACAGAAACAGGTAGGTGGATTTTTATCATATCAAAATTAAATGTTTGTCATGTGTCACCAGATTTTATTTCAACTGAAATATATGAACTATTCAGAAAGTCAACACTGAATATAAAGATGAAGGGAAAATTTAAATATTATGTAACAAAATACTGTCAAACCAACATAAGGATGGTTAAAAAAATGAATAAAAATATTGAAAAACTTATTTAAAGCTGCAGTTTTGTGTTTTTCAGTTGGAGGACTGTTTACCTATATCTAAAAATTATATAAATTACAATGTTTTAAGATGCACTTTAGAGTTTCTTGGTCTCCTTCCAATAAAACCTTTTGGTCTTTTTTGCTATAATTTACCTAAAATAATATAAAAACATGCAATTATTAGTGTAGTTTTATCCAAATTAAGCTATTAAATGTATTTAAACTTATATCCTGTAACTGCATCAACAGATGCATTCATTGTATGTAAAGCAGGGCAGTGAGGTCGTCTCCAGGTTGGTTGATGGTTTGAATCCGGTCTGTCTGTGATGCAGTCAGGAAGATGAACTCCACAGCAGCTGCAGCAGCTGCAGCAGCAGCAGCAGCTGCAGGCGCCAAGCCGACGCCGCCAGAGCTGCAGCAGAAGGAGAGCCGGCAGTTCAAGAGCAAAGCCCCCAAACGAGGACAGAAAGGGTGAGATGAACTTTCACCTCAGACAGGAAGTTAATGAACAGCAGCAGAGTGAGAAACGTTTCTGTCTCCCTGAAAACAGAATCAACAGCCACGACCCAGCCATGGAGGGCCTGGATGGTGAGTTCACTGGAGGTTTCCCAGGAGGTTTGATGGTTTCTGTGAAACATTTAACTGGTTTTGCTGGTTTGTTGCAGACGCTGCAGTGGTTTGTCCCTGGGAGGAATTCGGAGACGTGGAGCTGAGCGAACTGGCCCAGTTTGGAACCGTTTAGACCCGAGGAAGACTTCCTGCTGTTCCTGCTCCCCTTCATCCTGAGGATGAGGAGCAGAAACATGTCAGATCTACAAGCAGAACAATAAAACATGAAGATTCATTCATGGAGTCACACATGAACATAAATGTTTGTGACCATCTGTGACAGGAAGAAAACTTTACTGTTCAGAGCCTCACCACTTCCTGATAGTGGATGCAGCTGCTTCCAATGAAAATACATGATATTATATTAAAATCTGTCTGTTTGTAGAGAGGATTATTAAAATCTGATGGATGTGTTGTACGATGTCATAAAATAAGGAAACAAGCTGCATTTAATGTTCTCAGTCATTCTGCTGTATTTCACACAAAAGCACGGAAATTTGTCCAAGTTCGCAATTTTAAATAAAATTATTTTAATCACTGAATTTTGTTTCTTTCACTGATCTCAATAATCATCCAGTCACCGACTTTGCACATCACTGACTCTGTTTGTGTTTCTTCCAAAGTACAAAAAAGGAAAAACATATTTTTAAAAAGATGAGAAAAGCCAGAAATGTGTGTTTTGTTTTTTGTTTTTGTTTTTTTTTTGTTTTTTAGTGAAGGTAAAAAAAAAAATCCTGCTCTCATTCTGAAAATATTTCAGAAAAGTTAAGAGAAAATAAAGAATATTTTTATGAAAGTCAAATCTCATTCTTTAACACGGAGGTTATATTTTCAGTCAGGAGTTTCAAAAAGGAAGAAGGAACAAAGTGTGTAATGGTTTGGATCAAACTCCCAGTTTACTGATTTTATCTGACAAATGGAAATGTAGCACCAGTTTAGTAAAGATGAGCTGCAGCCGCCTGAAGGTAAAGTTTGATCAGAGCAGATTTTGAGGCTAATCTGGAGGATTAACTGAGATTCAGCCAGACTCAGATTCGTCTCAGATGTCTGGAGTTCATCAGATTACAGACAAAAAGCATCATGTCTGCTGTTCATGATGCATTTTCAACTGTGTGAACAGAAACACAGGAGTCATCCTGTCTTCACCTGAAAACAGGCAGATTTCTCATGTCTCTCTAGGTTCACGGTTTTCCTGACTGAACATGGACTGAGATCTTCCTCCGTCTTTCCTCTCCAGCTTTTACTGATTATTGCATCACTAATTAGACCTCAAAGAATAAATAAACCCACAAACAACTTGCTTTGCAGATAAAGTCTATAAATTGTTCCTTAAGTTGTAATCTTTATGTTTCTGTACAAATTGAGACATTTTTATGTAAATTTGTTGAATATTTGGCCTGAAACCACCTCAGCGCTGCCCTCTGTGGGTGAACGGTGGCTACTGCAGCTGGGTTGGTGTTCACATATCAGCTCCATGTTTAAAACCATCTGACTAAAGTAGTACACACAGCTGTGCATTGTGCAAATATTATCCATCACTAACTTCCAGTATAAATCATGTCTGTGTCTCATTCAGCTGATCAGCATTGATGTCCGATACTATAAATAAATAATAATAAACCAGGAAATTCTTGGTGATGTTTGCAAATATATCCAAAGCATTTTAGTTGCTGTTAAGCAACAGTTTTTTCTGACATTTTTAAAATTGGTTTCGAATTTAAAGTCAAAAATACTTTGAAGATTTAGTGCTGTTGGTTGAGAAATACTGCAGCCCTCTGTGTTTGATGCTGTTTCTAAGTGCCAGTAAAGCTGAACAGGTGATTTTGCACAGGTGTCAGAAAGAGGCTTCGGAAACACTCACTCAGTTGAAACAGCATCTGAAGGTGTTACTCACACAGACACGTGTGTCTGCAGCTGCTGCTGAAAGGTTGAGGCTGATTCACCCACCTGCAGATTTGGACATGATCCTTTTTATGCAACGTTTATTATCTGTGTGACTCATCCTGTTGTCCTGGAACCACGTCTCTGTCAGCCGCGCTTCACTTTAATCACAACTGCAAGGTAAAACACTGCAAAGTAAAAACTTCTTCATCGTGTTTAAAGGCCTTTAAATCAGAACGACTTTCACAGAGCAGAAAACCATGAAAACACCAGTTTAAAGACACCAGTTAAGCCAACAGGGAGGAAGTCAGAGTACCTGGAGAGAACCCAGATGACCACAGGGAGACCTCCACAGAAAGACCCCAGACTGGATTCAAACTAACAGCGTTCCCAACCGGCCAACATGTTTCCCATTAAAGAACAAAAATCCTCATTTAATTTGTCTTTGAGTCTCTACATTTCATAAACAAAGAGCCCAACAAGCCGCTGAGGGTATTTGAATTAATGAGGCTTAGTCATAAGACTTAATCGGCCTGAGTGCTGAGGGGAAGCTGATCCCTGCAGGGTTTAAAAGCAGACAGAAGGACGAGGAGAACCAGACAGAGACAGCAAGAAGAAAGAAAACTCCTTTGTCTTGCAGCTGCTTCTTATCTGGTCTGCAGAGAGAAACATCTCTAACATCTGAAAACAAGTAAGTCCATTCACCTTTCAATATTTATAGTCAGTATCATATTTACTTACATTCTCTGTACACTGCAAAGTTTAACCAACTTCTTCTAATGTGCCACAGATTCCTGTTTGCTTATGAAATGTTTTGTTTTTCTGATGCACAGTGGAGAACATGAACGCATCATCAGTATCTGAGGCCGGCAAGCCCAGCCCAGCTGAGCTCAAGCAGAAGGACAGCAGACAGTTTAAGAGCAAAGCTCCCAAACCTGGACAGAAAAGGTGAGGAGAGTCTTCCTCACGACCTCACGCTGTCAGGACTTTCTTCTCTTTCTAATTCAGTTTTTATTTCTCTGCCAGCTTCGACAGCGCTCTGCCGGGGCTGGACGGGCTGGACGGTGAGTCTGAGGCTCAAATTCAGCCTGGATCCTGGTGGAGTTGAGCTGTTCCCTCATGCCTGCTCTGTTTCCCTGCAGATGCTGCAGTGATCTGCCCCTGGGAGGAGTTTGGTGACGTGGAGCTGAGCGACCTGGCTCAGTTTGGAACCGCCTAGATCCCAGTCAGAGCTGGAAACCAGGAGAGGTTTTAATCTGGAGGAGAGGAACGGGCTCTAGGCTGCCGGAGTCGTTTCACCGACCCGCCGCAGCAGTTGAGCCATTGTTTGTTTTTTATTCATTTTTATCTATTTTTTCAGCCAAACTGCAAGTTCAGAAACCATTTCACTCAATCATGTGATTGTAAGGTTTGATTTTAATTGATGACAAAATTTGACCAGATTTGTTGAAATGACTTTATTCTACTTTGAAATCAAAACCTCACTCATGTTTACCGTGTTATAATAACGATGGATCCAAGCTTTGCAAATGTCTGTGTAAACATGAAAATTTGTACAATAAATCATTTTTATTAGTCTACTAAGTTTGGTCGTCTGGTTTTAGTGAGTGAAGAGCAGCGTCTGTCAGACGTCAGAACTGAAATGTTTGCTTTTCTGCTCCTTGTCGGGTTTTGGAGTTTTAGTCGAGGTGAAAGTCACTGAGTTTGGGATCCCTGCGCCCTCCTTCACATCCGCAGCTTCTAGGATGCAACAAGTTTGGAAACGTTTCAGTCTGAACCTCAGAGGAACTTAAAAAGTGTTAAATGACTTCAGTGAATGAAGATCTGAAAATAACCGTAAATATCCAAACGGATCTATGGAGAATGAAATCTGATGAATGTGGATATTTAGCTGTTCATGTATCTGATGACAGAAATCACTCGCCGTCTATCGGACCGGCCCAGCAGAACCTCAGCCTCGAGGCGGATCAGAACCGCAGGGCGACTCGTTTAAACCAAAGGAACAGTTCCTGAAGACGCTGCTCTCACTGCAAGGCATCATGGGAGCTTTCTGCAGTTCTGCATCACCCAGCCGGAGGTGTTGACGTCCAGGTTGAGGAGGTCCATGAGCCACTGGTCCTTTTTGGCCCCCTCCATGAACTCACTCAGGGTGATCTCACCTGAGAGGACGGAAACACAACAGAACGAGTCACAACAGCTGGTTTCAACTCACAAAGAAAAAAATCTAATAATGATGTCTTCCTCTCTGGGTGATCAAACACAATCTGCAGCATCATTTTAATAACATTGGTTATTACATTTATAGATTCACATGGGGTGAAATATTTATAATCCTTTCTGAGCCAGAATCATTAACATTACAAGCAATGAAGGCTTGAACATTTCCATCTATGTCTATGAATCTTTATGATCTAATTGTTTCCAGTAATCTGTCGTTTTTTTCACCATGTTGATCCTGAATTTGCTCTCCTACCGTCGTTGTTGTCGTCAACGAGGTCAAAGATCCGATCACAGATCTGGGACGGAGTCAGACCCACTTCGCTCTTCTGAAGTTTGATTTTATGAAGAATCTGTCAGAAAAACGTCAGAATCCAGGAATTTTAACTGAACAATTTTCAATAAAAGCAAAAACGATCTGAGCATCCAAAGTGGATGGAGGATAGCAGCGTAATAAACGGACCAATAAAATAATGAGTACAATCTGAATGAGGCCTGAAAGCAGAGGATTCACTGAGGAGCAGAAGAACAGCCAGCAAAGCAGCTCCGTCCAGACGGCTCCGTCCAGACCGCTCCGTCCAGACGGCTCCGTCCAGACGGCTCCGTCCAGACCACTCCGTCCAGACGGCTCCGTCCAGACCGCTCCGTCCAGACCGCTCCGTCCAGACCGCTCCGTCCAGACCACTCCGTCCAGACGGCTCCGTCCAGACCACTCCGTCCAGACGGCTCCGTCCAGACCACTCCGTCCAGACGGCCCGGGTGAAGCGGCTCCTTCCTGGAGGCCTGGACTCTGCTGAGGTTTTCAGTTTTACCCAACCGCTAACGTTCATCCATGACAAGTGGATAAACTATGAGGCTCCCTGGGAAATGCTTCATGAAACCAGAAAGCAGCCTGTCAGTCAGCAGAGTTTCTCTTCATAACCAGATCAGATGGTCGACACATCCTGAGCGCCTCCGGGACACCTGAGCCGAATTACCACCTGATCTCCAGGTTAAAGGTTTTAGGATCACAACTCTTTTTCTGTCAGTGGAGACACACGACATGACCTTAGCCTCTTGCCCTAATCCCAGATTACTGGGGCACTAAACCCACCTTCAGATTCCTGCTGTAGAAAAACTAGTGATTTCACAGTTTGACTCGTCATGGTTGCATCTCTGCTCCCATCAGACGTTTCTGACAGTAACTTTTGGGTCACACAGGTTTTCCTCACCCTTATGAGCCGCTTCACCTCACTCCGGTCCAGCTTTCCGTTCCCATCCCGGTCGTACATCTTGAAGGACCATTTGAGACGATCTTCCAGATTTCCTCTTAAGATCAAGTTAAGGGCAGCGACGTACTCGATGAAGTCCAGCGTGTTGTCCTGTGGAAGAGCCAGGCAGAGTTACTCAAACCGCACCATGAACCCGGTTCCTGCACACAGAGTCAACGATCCTTCACCTGGTTTGTGTCGAAGGAGCGGAAGATGGTCTCGAGGAAGAGGGAGTCCTCCGGCGAGCTGCTCTGAACGCCGAAGATCTTCTTGAACTCGTGCAGATGCAGGGCGCCGCTGGACATTCCCTCAGAAAGATGAGGCACATCTCCTGGATCTGAACCACATCCTCCTCATCGCTGCTGCTTTTTTCCTGTCTCATCGCTGCAGCTGCTTCGGTCAGAACGATCCCTGAAGATTTTACAAGAATCTGACGTCTGTTCGCAGTGAAGACTCCAACTGACTCAATCAGCTCATGCAAAGCGATTGGCAGCACTGGCCGGTTTCTCCTGGAGCATGCTTCACCGGCTTTAAGCTCATTACCCTGTTAAACTCTTGCATAAAATCTAACCTCTGGAAATAGATCTACTGCTGCCTCGTTTGACTCCCAAATACACACATTTAGTAAAAAGTGATTTTTCACCATGAGGTTTAAAACGAGTTGCACGTTTTCTTTACAAATATCATTTCAGCCTCTCAGACTTTTCATCACTTTCACACTCAGAGGTCAAATAAAATGTTATTTTATTCCACTGACTGTGATACAGGAAGTGATCACAACTGATTTTATCACTTTTAATTAGAAATATTTCAGTTTATTGATCTGGAAGTGATTTAGTGTAAAATGTTACAGTATTTCATAAACTGAAGATTACTGAAGATTACTTTAACAACCTTCTGCAAAACAGTGACTTTGGAAAAAAATACAGCAAGTCTTATAAAAGACGATACAAATTACTTGGTTATTAAAACCACCTCAAGTTCCTGTTGCATCATTTTCTTAATTAAAAATATGTTTTTGTTCTCAGCTCAACACTAAAGGCTCTTCTGATTTCTCACCAACTTCCAGATTTTTCTGTCTCTTTAACTCTAACAGGAATAAAAAGGCGAATAAAACTTTAAGTTACAGATTCATGTTAGCTAAAATGAACAGATGAATGTTGATTCCTGCTGTGAGGATGAGGGACTTTGACTGGACCGGGAACCAAAATAGCACTCAGAGTTAACCAGATCAGCAGGTTAAAGATAACCTGCAGAGACATCCCAGGACAAGTTTCATGTTTTTACTACAGTTTATAAGCCTGATATTCCCATCGATCTACAAAACAGAGGAAGGTTTAAAAATTAAAAAGACACGCTGGTGATTTTTCTCACCGCCTGACATTAAATCAGACCAAACTTTTTCAATTCAGATTTTTACATTAGAAATCTTAGATGATGAAACTTCTGAAAGGAAATCAAAAGTCTCTGTAACAGGGAGTGAAAATACATCTATTAATTTGGATCAAAAACAGAAAGAGCTACTTTTAGCCTTTTGGCTCTGCTTCAATTGATTGTGGGATTTGATTATTGATAATAAAATCAGACTGAAAAACAAGCGAGGACATCTGGTGGGCAGAACAGGAAGTGCAGGAAGAATCAGGCACATTTAACTGGAGATAAACTTGATCAAGTCTCTGTGCATCTCAGAAACATTATGGGATATTTTAAGTTTCTCAGTCAGTTAAACTAATATTGATTTATAATCCAGCAATCAAGACCACAGGTGTTAAACTCGGTTCTGATGGTAAAGCCTCTACATGCAGTTCGTTCACAAGCTGATTAGATCTTTGCGGCTCCAATCACAACACTGTTTTCTGTCCTCCCGTCAGGTCAGCCGGGGTAAACCGCCTCCTCACACGCTTCATCGGATCAACACATCGCCAAACACTCGCTTACGCTCTGACGGATTCAGCCTTTAATCTGCAGTGTGCTGCTCCTCTCCGCAGTCAAACACTGCAGTTTACTTTCCCAACTTTATTTCACTTTATGGAATAGTTAGGAAATATTCTAGAAGTCTTTCCTCAGAGGTTGGGATTTGTTTGGGATAAAACTGGATCTGCTCAGCAGCTATTCCTGCTGAAACTGTTCTGGAAAGGTCCGAGCAGACGGATGGGTTCCTGGTGACCACGCAGCGATGCCCTGCTCCAGGAGTGATGGGTCAGGTCCAGGAGTGATGGGTCAGGTCTAGGAGTGATGGGTCAGGTCCAGGAGTGATGGGTCAGGTCCAGGAGTGATGGGTCAGGTCCAGGAGTGATGGGTCAGGTCCAGGAGTGATGGGTCAGGTCCAGGAGTGATGGGTCAGGTCCAGGAGTGATGGGTCAGGTCCAGGAGTGATGGGTCAGGTCCAGGAGTGATGGGTCAGGTCCAGGAGTGATGGGTCAGGTCCAGGAGTGATGGGTCAGGTCCAGGCCACCACAGACACAGAAGTGACTCTGCAGAATTCAGGAACTATACCGGAAATTCACCGATGAATGTCCGAGTGGGAAACCTGCACCTGCATGAATTCAAGAAAATCTTTGGCGTCAGCAGCAAATCACCGGAGGAGGAGGTGGCTTTTATTGAACTTGTCTTTAAATCCTTTGATACCAATAAGGTAACGTGTGTTCTGGTGTGGTACATGGGTCAGGGTCCGTCATCCACAGACTATCTCTCCTGGTTCTGTTCAGGACGGTAAGTTGGACTTCATGGAGTACGTTGCAGCCGTGAACCTCGTTCTTCGTGGAAAACTCATCGACAAACTGAAGTGGTCTTTTAAAATTTACGACAACGATGGGAACGGCTGCCTGACCAATCAGGAAGTGAGGAGTGTCATCAAAGTGAGTCTTCAGTTTTTAGAAACTCTGACTTTCATTAAAACAGTTTGGAAAGTTTAACCTGAAGCTGGTTGAGCTTTAAAGTCAACTGCTGTGAACCTTGTGGTATTTTAAGCAGCACAGAGAAACTGTTTGCTGCAGATAATCCTCCTCACTTTACAACCGTGGTAGTAAATACAGTGACAAATATCTCTTATAAATATATGAACATTTGGTTTTAAGGTTAAATAACTCAACTGTGACCATAAAAATGTTGTT